ATTTGTTGAAAATGCTGTCCTTTTTTCCACTGGACAGTTTTAGCTCCTTTGTCAAAGATCAAGTGACCATAGGTGTGTGGATTCATTTCTGGGTCTTCAATTCTATTCCATTGATCTTCCTGCCTGTTTCTGTACCAATAACATGCAGTTTTTTTTTTTTTTGTTTGTTTTGTTTTTAATCACTATTGCTCTGTAGTACAGCTTGAGGTCAGGGATGGTGATTCCTCAAGAAGTTCTTTTATTGTTGAGAATATTTTTGCTATCCTGGATTTTTTGTTATTCCAAATGAATTTGCAAACTGCTCTTTCTATCTCTATGAAGAATTGAGTTGGAATTTTGATGGGGATTGCATTGAATCTGTAGATTGCTTTTGGCAAGATGGCCATTTTTACTATATTGGTCCTGTCGATCCATGAGCGTGGGAGATCTTTCCATCTTCAATTTCTTTCTTCAGAGACTTGAAGTTCTTGTAATACACATCTTTCACTTGCTTGGTTAGAGTCACACCAAGGTATTTTATATTATTTGTGACTATTGTGAAGGATGTCATTCCCTTAATTTCCTTCTCAGCCTGTTTATCCTTTGAGTAGAGGAAGGCTACTGATTTGTTTGAGTTAATTTTATATCCAGCCACTTTGCTGAAGTTGTTTATCAGGTTTAGGAGTCTGGTGGAAGTTTTGGGGTCATTTAAGTATGCTATCATATCATCTGCAAATAGTGATATTTTTACTTCTTCCTTTCCTACTTGTATCCCTTTGACTTCCTTTTTTTGTCTAATTGCTCTGGCTAGGACTTCGGGCACTATATTGAATAGGTAGGGAGAGAGTAGGCAACGTTGTCTAGTCCCTGATTTTAGTGGGATTGCTTCAAGTTTCTCTCCATTTAGTTGGCTACTGACTTGCTGTATATTGCTTTTACTATGTTTAGGTATAGGCCTTGAATTCCTGATCTTACCAGGACTTTTACCATGAAGGGATGTCAAATGCTTTTGTCAAATGCTTTCTCAACATCTAGTGAGATGATCATGTAGGTTTTTTCTTTGAGTTTGTTTATATTGTGGATTACGTTGATGGATTTTTGTATATTGAACCATCCCTGCATTCTTGGGATAAAGCCTACTTGATCATGATGGATGATTGTTTTGATGTGTTCTTGGATTCGGTTTGTGAGAATTTTATTGAGTATTTTTGCATTGATATTCATAAGGGAGATTGGTCTGAAGTTTTCTTTCTTTGTTGTGTCTTTTTATGGTTTAGGTATGAGTGTAATTGTGGCTTCATAGAACAAACTGGGTAGTGTTCCTTCTGTTTCTATTTTGTGGAATAGTTTGAAGAGAATTGGTATTAGGTCTTCTTGAAGGTCTGATATGATTCTGCACTAAAACCATCTGGTCCTGGGCTTTGTTTTTTTTTTTTTTTTGTTTTTGTTTTTTGTTTTTTTGTTTTGGTGGGGAGACTTTTAATGACTGCTGCTATTTCTTTAGGGATTATGGGACTGTTTAGATGGTTTATCTGCTCCTGGTTTAACTTTGGTACCTGGTATCTGTCTAGAAAATTGACCATTTCATTCAGATTTTTCAGTTTTGTTGAGTGTAGGCTTTTGTAGTAGGATCTAATGATTTACTGAATTTCCTCAGTTTCTGTTGTTATGTCTCCCTTTTTAGTTCTGATTTTATTAATTTGGATACCGTCTCTGTGCGCTCTGGTTAGTCTGGCTAAAGGTTGATCTATCTTGTTGATTTTCTCAAAAGACCAGCTCCTGGTTTTGTTGATATTTTGTATAGTTCTTTTTGTTTCTATTTGTTTGATTTTAGCCCTGAGTTTGATAATTTCCTGCTGTCTACTCCTCTTGGGTGTATTTGCTTGTTCTAGAGCTTTAAGGTTTGTTGTCAAGTTGTTAGTGTGTGCTCTCTCCAGTTTCTTTTTGTAGGCACTTAGAGGTATGAGTTTTCCTCATACACTGCCTTTGTTGTGTCCCATAAGTTTTGGTATGACGAGGCTTCATTTTCATTAAATTATAAAAAGTCTTTAGTTTCTTTCTTTATTTCTTCCTTGACCAAGTCATCATTGAGTAGAGTGTTGTTTAGTTTCCACATGTATGTGGGCTTTCCATTGTTATTGTTATTTTTGAAGATCAGCCTTAGTCCGTGGTAATCTGATAGGCTGGATAGGATTATTTCAATCTTTTTATATCTGTTGAGGCCATTTTTTTTTGTGACCAATTATGTGGTCTGTTTTGGAGAAGGTACCATGAGGTGCTGAGAAAAAAGTATATTCTTTTGTTTTAGAATAAAATGTCCTATAGATATTTGTTAAATCCATTTGGTTCATAACTTTTGTTAGTTTCACTGTATCTCTGTTTAGTTTCTATTTTCCATGATCTGTCCATTGCTGAGAGTGGGGTGTTGAAGTCCCCCACTGTTATTGTGTGAGGTGCAATGTGTGCTTTGAGCTTTAGTAAGGTTTCTTTTATGTATGTGGGTGCCCTTGTATTTGGAGCATAGATGTTCAGAATTGAGAGTTCATCTTGGTAAATTTTTCCTTTGATGAGTTTGAAGTGTCCTTCCTTGTGTTTTTTGATAATTTTTGGTTGAAAGTTGATTTTATTTGATATTAGAATGGCTACTTCAGCTTGTTTCTTGGGACCATTTGCTTGGAAAATTGTTTTCCAGTCTTTTACTGTGAGGTAATTTCTGTCTTTGTCTCTGAGGTGTGTTTCCTTTATGCAGCAAAGTGTTGGGTCCTGTTTACATATCCAGTCTGTTAGCCTATGTCTTTTTATTGGGGAATTGAATCCATTGATGTTAAGAGTTATTAAGGAAAAGTGGTTGTTTCTTTCTGTTATTTTTGTTGTTAGAGGTGGAATTATGTTTGTGTGGCTATCTTCATCTGAATTTGTTGGAAGATTACTTTCTTGCCTTTTCTAGTGTGTAATCTCCCTCCTTGTGTTGGAATTTTCCATCTATTATCCTTTGTAAGGCTAGACTTGTAGAAAGATACTGTGTAAATTTGGTTTTGTCATGGGATATCTTGATTTTTTCCATCTATGGTAATTGAGAGTTTTGTTGAGTCTAGTAGCCTGCCTGGCTGGCATTTATGTTCTCTCATATGACATCTGTCTTGGATCTTCTGGCTTTTATAGTCTCTGGTGAGAAGTCTGGTGTAATTCTTATAGGTCTGCCTTTATATGTTACTTGACCTTTTTTCCCTTACTGCTTTTAATATTCTTTCTTTGTTTTGTGCATTTGATGTTTTGATTATTATGTGATGGGAGGAATTTCTTTTCTGGTCTAGTCTATTTGGAGTTCTGTAGGCTTCTTGTATGTTCATGGACATCTCCTTCTTTAGGTTAGGGAAGTTTTCTTCTATTATTTGGTTCAAGATATTTACTGGCCCTTTAAGTTGGGGATCTTCTCTCTCATCTATACCTATTATCCTTAGGTTTGGTCTTCTCATTGTGTCCTGGATTTCCTGGATGTTTTGGATTAGGAGCTTTTTGCGTTTTGCATTTTCTTTTACAGCTGTATCAATGTTTTCCATGATATCTTCTGCACATGAGATTCTCTCTTCTATCTCTTGTATTCTGTTGGTGATGCTTGCATCTATGACTTGTGATCTCTTTCCTAGGTTTTCTATCTCCCAGGTAGTCTCCCTTTGTGATTTCCTTATTGTTTCTACTTCCTTTTTTATATCCTGGATAGTTTTGTTTAATTCTTTCACCTGTTTAGTTGTGTTTTCTTGTAATTTTTAAGGGATTTTTGTGTTTCCTTTTTAAGGACTTCTACCTGTTTACCTCTGTTCTCCTGTATTTCTTTAAGGGAGTTATTCATGTCCTCCTTAAAGTCCTCTATTGTCATCATGAGAAGTGATTTTAAATCTGAATCTTGCTTTTTTGATGTGATGGAGTATTCAGTACTTGCTATGGTGAGAGAACTGGGTTCTGATAATGCCAGGTAACCTTGGTTTCTGTTGCGTATTTTCTTGTGCTTGCCTTTCACCATTTGGTTATCTCTAGTCCTACCTGCACTCACTGTCTCTGACTGTTGCCTGTGTCTCCTGTTATCTTGCTTGTGTCAGAACTCCTCAGAATCCAGCTGTCTCTGTGATCCTGAGATCCTGGGTGAAAGAGCGCCTGGGACTCAGGCTGCCTCTGGGATTCTGAAATCCTATGATCCTGGGCGTGATTGAGTTCCTGGAAGCCCTGCTTCCTCTGGGTATTGTGGGATTGGGTGCAGAGCTATTATCCTGGGCGTGTTAGAGCTCCTGGGAGTCCAGGTTCCCCAGCTTCTCTGAGTGCAGTGGATTCTCCAGGATGGGGCAGGATATGGTGTCTTCACGAGAGGAGACCTGCTAGGAGTCTGCCTCAGCAAAAAGAACAGAGAGGGGTGGAAGGGGAGTGGTATTTGGGAGAGCAAGGTTTTGGTGGGTGATGGGTCCTCAGTGCTCCCAGCTGCAGTTCTGGGGCATAGGGTTGTCGGATAGAGTTCTCTGAGTACAGTGGTTACTCTAGGAAGGGTCAGGATATGGTGTCTTCATGGGAGCAGACCAGCTAGGAGTGCGTATATATACTTAAATGCATAAATATAAACTGCTCAGTCTGTATAATGTTACTTGTATGTTTGTTTTCAGCACTGACTATTTGGTACTGAATGACCAATCAGTTTGCTCTTCCCTGGAGAAGACAATTCCAAGGAGACTTTTGTTCATTTTTTTTTTTTTAACCATTTTGAAAAATTTGTAAGCAGATCTCATATTGTGGCATTTCTACTGAAATTAAGACAGAGCATCACATGGAATTCAGTGGCTTTTCTCACAAATCATATGGATAATTTCATTTTTATACAATATCCCATAAGGGTACATATATATATATTTGCCAGAATAGCATACAGACTAGAATGTATTGCTCTTAGTATTAAATAGAAAATAAAGCTGGATATTATAAAATTTTGCTTAATATTAAGTTTAGATAATATTAAGGTGTTTATTTTATTTTAACAGGTATCTTTCAGATGAAGGCATTGAAGCTTGTACAAGCTCTCCTGGGAAAGTCAATATAAATGACATCATCCTGATTGCTCTCAATGTAGGTTACGTTTATTAACTTTAATTAGACATTCTTTAAATTTAGAGATATAGCAATAAAAATACATCATAAACTATATTTTATGATAAGTAAATAACATAGAGGAAATCTTTAATTTTTGTCCCTTTTAGGTTATAGAGATGTTTGCTGAATTTAATCACCTAATATTAGCTAACTGTAAATACCATATGCAATACAGTGAGAAGGAAAAGTTCACTCATTGTAGAATCCATATTTTTAGTAGTTTTATAATAGTAAGAACTGACAGTTCTTTAAAACAGTTTTCCCTTTGGTTTGCATTAGATTAGCTGTAGCCTTAATTTATTTTAAAACATTATTTATTTTATCTCATGTGTATGAGTATTTTGCTTGCCTGTATAAGTGTGTACCTGGTGCCCTGGGAAGTCAGTGAGGTTGCTGCACCTCACATGCTTGTGAGCCACCGTATGAGTGCTGGTCACGATCTCAACGATTGAGCCCCTGCTCCACCCTCGCTATCTCCTGTTTAGATGTTTCCTTTATGTTCAGGTTTTTGTGTTGGAAAGGGCAAGTCTTACTGTTTTCATTTGTAAAGTAGGAAAATAAAAACATTGAGAAATTGCATTAAAATCTTGCATGAATTTTAGGTTCAAATATTTGAATTATTCAGAAAAATTAAGTGTAGTCTTAATTTGTTGAGCACTATTAGTGTTTAGTAAGTATAAAACACAGTCTGTTATCTCTCTTGAGGTCCATATTCTATAGAATGACCTTCCACATACGTGATCTTAGGTTTTCATTTTGAAGACAGCCCCCCATAGTCCTGAAGAGCCCCCCACTTTGTATATAGACTGTTTAGACTGGTCACAAGTCAGGATGCTACTGTAACCTTTGTAAGCAGTCTCTATGCTTTAGGTTTTGTCTGTGATGGTTTGTGAGTTACACATATTTCTGCTTTTTCAGAGCTGTTTCTTCACCATTTTCTCTCGCTGTAGTTTACGTAAGCAGGGAGATATCCCAGCGGCTCCAATCCCCGTTGTTTCCTTTGCTTTGCTGTATTATGAGTGTCAGAGCTGGTGGAGTAATTGATTTTCATTGCTCTGAATGTTAAGATTATATGGGACTTGGAATTATATGGGATTATATGGGTTATTAAAACGTATACTGGTTTATTGTAGTCCAGAGCTATCATAGGATATTTGGATTATGGCATTAATTTTCAATAAGACATAATGATGTAATTTGTTGGGGATTTTAGTGGAGAAGAGTGACTAAGGTGGAAGAGTAGCAGAAATACGATGCTTCTGCCTCTTACTGTTTGTTTACTGGAGCAATGCACAGATGCCACTAAATGATTTGAAAATAGTGACTCTATATTTTATAACTAGTTAAAGATGTTTGCTTAGTTTTTGTTCTGCAAACCTGAAGTAATGTCTTTTGATCATAAGCCTGAATTTAGTTTTACTTTTCTATAATTCTATTTTAATAATAAAATATTTATTTTAGACAGATTTGAGAACAATTGGCAAGAAGTTCCTTCCCAGTGACATCAACGGTGGAAAGGTAGAAAAGGTAAAGAGGAGGCTCACTCGCTCTGCTGACACCATGACAAGTCTGAGTGTGCACTAAGTCACCTGACACACAGGGTGCACAGGCTCACAGGCTCACTCGCTCTGCTGACACCATGACAAGTCCAAGTGTGCACTAAGTCACCTGACACACAGGCTGCACGGGCTCACAGGCTCACTTGCTCTGCTGACACCAGGACAAGTCCGAGTGTGCACTGAGTTACCGGACACACAGGCTGCACGGGCTCACACTTAGGATGCTGTTTCACGTCACATGTTGAACATTATTAAAAGCAAAATTCTGGTGATTTTAATTGTTAAAAACTTCATTCAGAAATTATGAATATGGTTTATTAGCTTGGCATGTAACTCTTGTCGCTTTTTTTTTTTTTTGGTTTTTCGAGACAGAGTTTCTTTGTGTAGCCCTGGCTGTCCTGGAACTCACTCTGTAGACCAGGCTGGCCTCGAACTCAGAAATCTGCCTGCCTCTCTCTTGTGGCATTATTAAAGTGTCCGACAAGTCCTCTTTCCTGTTTGGGCTTTAGTTTCCCTTGTAACCGTTACTAATTTACTCAGCACTTTATGGATGTAAAAGCGTACGGTTGTGAAGTTATTTGTTTGGTGGAGATGCATGTTTGTGTTTGTTGCCATTGTGTACTTCACATACAGCTGTTCTTACGGATCTTCTCAGTGGCCTCATTTTTAAATGCAGAAACACCTTTTAAAACTATTCAGTTAGGGATGAAATTTCCTTCACATTTCTGTTTAGTTGTTTTTTAAATTTGAAAATAAATGTATAATATTTCAGTAAAGAATTTAAACGATGCTATTGGTCTTGTATTGTTAGTTTACTTTGTTGGCTGTGTTATAGTCTACACTGTTTTCTTTATATCCCCCAGAGCGAGTGGAGAGCAGGTGGTTACTCTCCTTCCTCTCTAATTCTTTGTACATTTGTCACTGCCACAGATTTTTCCCCCATCTATCTTTTGCCTATTGTTAATTTCAAGTATCATTTTCTGATTTTTAGTGTGTTTTTACAAAGTCCACTCCAGTTTGTTCCCATTTTTTACCTTTTGTTACAGAAATAGTTGTTCTCAGATATAGTTTTCTACTGTGTTTGGCTTGCTCTCTGAACTGTCCTTACCCCTGCCTGAGTTTTTAGTCCATAGCATGAAGATGAAACCTGATTATTTGCATTTTGATCCTTCTTAGGAGCTGTTGGCCTTGGGTGGTAACATCCTTTGGAAAAAGCCCACGTTATAATGCAGGTTGAGTGGTGGCTATGGATAGCTCTGATGGACAGTGATTACGTGACAGTCCATGCATGTCTCCATACTAGCTGGGTTAAGACAATGAGAATTTTCTGTAGTAGTGTCTTACTGTTTGCCTTTTGTCGCTGTGTCCTTAAGATTCAGAGCTCACCTTCTGCTGCCTTGAGACATCCAGCAGATGGAGACTTTCTTTGTCTTGGCCACTTTCTGAGCTCAGATTTGTGTCTAAAGTTGTATGCAGTGTTTTTTAAAGGGTTCCTTTGAAGGCAATTGATAATAATAAACAAAACTTTGTAATGTGGACTCTTCTGTGATACGTATTATCACTGAAAACATGCTTAAATGTGATGCTAATTTATACATAGAATGAATAGATTAAAGACTCCCTTTTTGTATAAATTGGAATTTCTAGGTATTTCTTTTTCTGTTCTTCCTCTTTGCTTATATTTTCCCTTTTACTAGCTGCTGCTGAGACCAAATACAATTCCTCTCACAGCAGGAAAGAAAAGGTTTTGAAAACAGGCTTAATAGAAATAGAGCTGATACATAGATTGTATTCATTTTGTTGGCCATTAGTTAGAACTCCACATACTATATTTAAATGCATCTGTATTTAGGCTAAATATTCAAGAGATATACTTTTAGTTTGAATTGAAGATTAATGCCACTCACTATACTTTATTTGTGCCTTTATTACAAAGATTTACTGCCTAGCATTTCATCATATTAGTAGTGCCTCTTTGTTATAATGGTACAGTCTACCGCTAAATTACATATGTTACAGTTCTAGTTTAAAATAAGCTTTATCTTAATCTTTAAGTAAGCTATAGGACTATATTTGTAAGTATGGTATTTTAATTACAAATCTGTCACTTACTTTGCTGTGTAAATTATTATATAAAGTATACTTAATAGAAATTGCTAGATCATTCTTTTTATGTTCTGTTATTGGTTATATTTTTCACCCGCAGCTTCTGACATGAAGTGTAGTTGCTGAATTTTAAGATGATGCTCTCTAGTTTCCCTTTTTTTATTAAGAAAGGAAGAAAGGTTGGTAAGGGAGGTGAGAAGCGGAAAAGAGAATGAGAGGGGAACAGAGCAAGCTAGATTTCATGGTTAGTGCTCATACAACAGATGTGGAGAACAACTTCCCAATATTTCAACCAACATTAAAAAGAAACCTTACAGTGTATGTCTTAAGAGGTGGGAAAGCCATGAGTCAGATTAGGAGAGTATGATTGGACCAGTAACAGACCAGCAAGACACTAGTACAGCCATTGGCTTTACCCAAACCATATTACTCTAATTTTTAAATTTAGTGATTCTTGGCAAGTTACTTAATCTTTCTAGAGGTTAATATTTATATTATTAAAGTATTATTTCCTTATGCCGTTGAAGTATTAAATGATACTGAGCTTGAAATGTTCAATGTAGTAACTTCACTTGGTGACATTGTCATATTACTAGCCATTCAGAATGGTATGTTTGTCTCTGAAATCTAAAAGTGCATAAATGCTAATTACCTCTGCTGGGTTGTTTGTTACTAAGCTCTCCAGAAGAATTCAGTGAAATAAGCAAGCAAATGGCAAATGACTCATCTTTATTGTCTGGATTTAGTCCTTGAGCCAGACTAATGTTTGTGATAGGATCAAAGATGGCCTGAAGCCATGTTCTGACTGATTCTACTTACTGAGTTCCCAGTCTGTGATGCCCCCATTTCAGAGAGAGACACTTGAGGATTGGAGAAAATTTCCCAAGTAGTTAGGAGCTAGAAGGAGAGGTGACCATCATCTTTGTAGGAGCTTCCTCCATTTGTTGTGTATGATTTATTTTGAAAAAGCCTCCCCTAAGTCTTCCCCAGCTCCTTTGGAAGCTAAGACACTAGGCCGGAGGCTTTTCAGTGTTCTGGAGCCTCTCTAGACAGATCAGTAATTCTCTTTGGAGGTAGATGGGAGGAAGCTACAGTTCATCTCCCAAAAGGCCGACGACTGTGCTGTTGCTGTGCTGATTAGTGAGACCAAGATAACACCATTTTCATGATTTGGTAATTTTAGATTAGAAAGAAAATGAAGAGCTAGTAGACTTGTGATCAGGAAAGAAAGATGGTAGGTCTGTAGTTTACTATGGAATTAATCTCATTTCAAGATGTCTTGGCCTTCAGAAAGATACTGTCTTTTGGATTTTGCAACTGAGGGTCTTAGTTATTGCTATTATCACTGATTATTTTGGGAGAATATAGAATTGTAAAAAGTGGCATTACTTTATTAGTAATTATTATGATATTTTCCCTGAGGGCCTTTCCCTTCTCACTCTCTCTGTAGCACTGTTTTGAAGTTTTTATGTACCATGTGTTTGACCATGATTTCATAGATCTTAGGTAGAGACTTGAAGTGGGGAGACGGTAGACAGAGGTTTTTCTCCAGGTTTCCCAGTCCAGTCTACCTGTTCCATTGGTTTCCCCCCACTCAGCCTCTGAATGTTGGAGACTCTGTGTGTGTTGTGTTTGGTGTGTTGTGTGTGTGTGAGAGAGACCCGGAAAAGTAGGCAGGCAGGCAGAGACAGAGATAGGGAGAGAGGTGGGGGAAATGGAGGGAGAGAAAGAATATGTTATATCTCACACACCTTCTTTTCAGAGATTTTTTTTTTAAGAGCAAGGTTTCTGTTTCTTAAATATTCTGAAGTCTTGGGACAGCTAGTAGCGTACAATCTGGAGACCATGGGAAATAGTCATAATGTAAATGCAGTATAATTATTTAATGTTTTTCTCTGTTTAATTTAAATTTTTTGTTATTTTCATAGATGTTTAAAACAAAGTAGGCTTGGTAATTGTAGGCTATAGCCTAGTTTGAAAGCTTTGTGTTCAGTCCAGTTACTTGAGGACTTTTGCACGTTGTGGAAGAAGCCTAACAGCAAATGTGTCAGATTGTTTAGTGAAACGGGAGAGTAACAGGTACTAAGTAACAATGTTCAGTTAGGTGAACCAAGGAGTATATTGTGGTTCCTTACAGAAGTATCTGAGAGGGTGAGCAAGTGTTGGCTCAAAGGCAGTGGCGTCTTGGAAGTGTCCACCCCAGCACGGTGAGCATGCTATCCACATGCCCTACAGGTGGCTCAGCAGGTTGGAGAATGTTCTCCAAGCACCTGGACATCATTCAGAGAAGTGGGGACTCAGAGCAGCCTCTCCCAGGCAGTTTACTGCCTCCCCAACCTAGGGAGGGCCTCAATAATCTTAGTCTCAGCACTGCACACTTGGTGGTTTACCTGGAGTTTCCTGAACTGGCCTCGAAGATGCAAAGTTTCAACCTGAAAAAAACTGATACACTGCAGTCATGTTCCAGAGTTATTTCTTTTTAAATTGTAAGTCCTGGTACTGACAGTTGCCTATGACTTTTTCAAAAGTGAAGCGGATTTAATGCTTCATTTTTGCAAGCTGAAGTGACTGGTTTGGAGCTGCAGCAATACCAACGTGAGCCACAAGATGGCTGCCTAGCCTTAAAATTCAGAAGGAACCAACCTAGTTCTCAAGTTTAGAGGGTGAATATTTTTAAAGAAAAAAAAAAAAAAGAAACAACAGGTAAAAGGTTCAGGTTTTAATTGAAAGCTGTTTTCTTTCTACTTTGCTAATGTAGTCTGTCGTAAATAATAGCTTATTAGTATTCCATTTGGTGAGTGAGTTATTAAAATTAAGCATGTTTTTGTATTTTTCAGTAAAATGAATACAATTAGGAATTTG